AGGTGCAAGAAGGAACAAGAACTAGAACTCAAATCTCTCTCCTCTGTACCACAATTGCTCAAAAAGAAAAAACAAACCAAAAAAAACCCACCTCTGGCTCAAAATAACACATGCTCGTGTAGCCAGAAATGGTGAATAACCTGGTCTATCTCCTGCTGGCTTCCGCAGTAAGGCAGGTATGAACCCACGACATGTACGGGTCACTATGACATGTGTGCGCATCGACTCTGTCGAAAAGGCTCTCCTTCCAAATAAATGAATAAAAACGTGGATGCTGAGTGAAGATTAGCATCATCTCCCATCAATGCTAATACGCTTTTTGGTTACTTGCAATTCTCTTTTGTAAATCCAAGGGAAACATCATTGCCCAAATTAGCTCTTTTCACTCAATAAAGGCCATATTAGTATTCTGCGGTTTGCATTTGCTTACTGCTTATTTAGAGAGGTCAGATGAGAAGGTGAGCAGCCTGCACCTGATTTCCATTTCACTGAAGACAGGTGGGCGGAGGAAATCCAAAGTCGACCAAGGCCGGGCCAGGTGCTCTGGCTGTGGCTGAGTCAGCCTGACATGCTGAGCCGGAGCACAGCCTGGAGCACCAACTACCTCCACTGTGGCCCTCCCTGAAGGACCGGCCCAGATGGGCGACACTGACTCAGGAGGTTCCAAGGTCTTCCCCTGCCTGGAACTCTCTGTCCTGTTCTCAGGGCTGCATGTATATCGTATGTCCGCTCCCCTCTCGCCCACCCACTGAAGTGGCCTTCAACCCCCCACGTTCTTTCTAGTCCATCTCAGCCCTGAGAACGCTCTCCCATGTCTGCCTGGCTCCCCTGCTGGAAGGGAAGCTCCATGACTACAGCATCCCTAACCACGTGTTCACCCTGCAGCCCCAGCGCTGCCATCACAGCTGCTCGACATTTGATGAAGGATAGCAGGAAGGAAAGTCTGAGCTGATAAGGACTGGCGAGTATTCTAAGTATTCCCTTACTTAGGGGAGGCCGCGCTCTGGGTCTCAGATCTTGCCTCTCTCGAGTTCCACTGCAAAGAGGAAAAGATCAGTCTTTAAAACCAGACATGCATCCACATCCCAACTTCTTTCACCACTGGCAGGATAGTTTTGGCCTTGATAGTTTAACCATCTAGAGCCTCAGTTTAGGGACACCGATCGGGCTAAGCGCCTGGCCCAGTGCTGGATCAAAGGGCAGTGAACTCCCCCAGACCGCCACCAGCTCCGAGTCACACTACGGACAGCCCGGCCCGCAAAGTGGGCTCCCTCCCCCTCCCCTTGGCTTCCGGCGCAGCGCGCTGGGTCTGAGAACCCCAGGGCGGCAGCGGTGCGCCCGGCCCTCGCCAGGCGCCGCCCAGCCCCGAGCCGCAGCCTCGGCCGCCCCTGCCCAGCCCCTTCCGGGTCACGGTCGCCGGCTCCAGCTCTCGGAAGGGTCACGGGTCCGGCGCGGACGGGCCCGACCAGCTCGGGACCGTTTAGCGTTCCCGGACCGGACCTCTGTGGGGACCTCATTGGCACCATGGCCCCTCACCACAAAAGTGCACTCGCGCGCGCACACGCGGCCCCCGCAGCTTCCGGGCCCGCCCGCCGCGCCCCGACCCTCTGCACCCCTCCCGGTCCGAGCGGAAGAGGCGCGGGCAGCGCGCACCACGTGACCGAACGGGGCTGCCCGCCCGCCAGACGCGCTGAGGTCGGGCGGGCGGAGGGACAATTTCCCATGGTTCCTTCATTTGCATATGCGGTGTAAGACGGTTAGTGAGAAATTGATTTAATGTGGCAGTAATCACAAAGATACAATTACAGTATGTGTGATCCAGGAGGCCATAGCTTCTTGAATATTTTTGGGTTTTAAAAAGTGCACAGTGTAGTCACCATAACTATAAAAGTTTTGCTATTCTTGGCTTTATTTACCTCCTGAGAAAGCCACGCAGCCGTGCTCGCTTCGGCAGCACATATACTAAAATTGGAACGATACAGAGAAGATTAGCATGGCCCCTGCGCAAGGATGACACGCAAATTCGTGAAGCGTTCCATATTTTGGACCTAAGCTTTTCCCCCGGGCGGAGTTTGTACTTCGATGCAGCGCTTTTCGCATACAGTTTCTATCCTTTGTTTGACTAAAAGGAAAGTGTACTCCCAGGAGATGGTAAGGAGGTGGGGCATAGTCATATTCATCGTTTTGCGGTGCTCTTTACATCTGGCCCTTTGGCCCCCAATCTTTTCCATCTTGCCTCTGTTTCCCCGTGCACTATCCTGAGTTCTACGGGACCTGTAATTACACTTACGCAACGGCCTTGCCAAAGTTGATCCATTTCAGGTCCAAAACATCACAGGACGTTAGTGCTACGATAAACATGAGATGTATTATAACAGGAACTTGCAACAAGGCTGACTCCTCATGCTGCCTCTGGAACTTAACAAAAAATAGTGCCCACCCCTTGGTGAGCACCTACCACGTACGAGGGGCTTCACCGCTATCCTACTTTAGTATTCCCGACAGCCTTGCCTTGTGGGTATTACTGCCACCACTTTACAGGAGACACTGCGAGGTAAAGCAACCTGGGCGGGACCATGTAACTAGTAGGCCGAGGCAAGGCCTGATAAAACCTTTAGAGGCACAAACCCTGAAAAGATCAGTGCCCTGCCCCGACGTAATTCATTTGCAAAAAGCACAGTCCTAATTAGTAAGATAAGAAGAAAAAAAAATCCAACGACCTTCAGATTTCCTGTGATGACTTCATCAATGTTTTTTGAAATAGCAATTTCTTTCCAGGAGAGAACAGTTGCCGCATCTGCTTTGCAAGTGCCTGAGCACGCACGTAGTCCGCCTGGCGGTCTCTGCGGCCGCAAGCAGCCCACGCCGGTTGCCTCCAGCGGCCGCCGCAGCCAGGGCAGTGGCGGGTCCTCTCCTGGCGGGCGCTCGGAGCTGCCGAGCAGCGTGCCATCAGGGGTCCATTTCTGTTCTCTTCAGTGGAGGCGAAATGATCCTTTCCAGGTAACAGCCGAGAATAGGAGTCTATGGGACCTCTTGTCGCGCGTTCTCCTCGGCTCATGGCCTCCAGTGCATGGTGTTAGAGGACAACCTTTTGTTTTCCTTTCTTGCCCCAAAGATACCTGGTTCTTTGGAGGCCACTCGGGCAACTGGGTGGATAGTTTTAAAGGTCTCCTTCTGGCATGCCAAATAAGGATATGACCAATGTTGGTGTGGCTCCGTCTCCTTCTAAAGAAACTCATTGTACTTCTTGACACGAAGGTTGTCGCAGAGAAGAAATGAGGAAAGACACAGGCAATTCCTAGTTCTGGAAAAGCCAGAGCCCTGGCTGACTTTCCTGGCTCTGCACAGTTCCATGAAGTCGCTACCCTTTTCCCCATCGCGTTATACATGAGGAAGCCGAGGCACAGAGAGCCTCAATGACTTGCCTAATGTCATGCAACTAGTCAATGGCAGAGAAGGGATTGAGATGCAGGAAATCTGGCTATAGAGTTTGTGCTCTTAACCAAACATTATGCTCCTTTTGAGGGTGTAGAGTGGGAGGTAAGACTGGTTAGAATTAATAGAAAGAGCATGCAGGTCCACTTCTGCTTTTGTTGGTGTTCTGAACTCAAGGACAGGAGTTGAACTTTTGTGAAGGATCAAGGCTATACTTTAGATCAGAGTAGCTGGGAAAGAGTGGACATGTATGTGCCCAGTGACCTTGCAAGATGTGAGGGAGTGGGGCTGGCCCAGTGGCATAGTGGTTAAGTTCTTGCTCCCCTTGGGTGGCCAGGGTTCACTGGTTCAGATCCTAGGCCTGGATATACACACTGCTCGTCAAGCCATGCTGTGGAGGTGTCCCAGGTACAAAATAGAGGAAGACTGGCACAGGTGTTAGCTCAGAGCCAATTTTCCACACCAAATAAATAAATAAATAAATAAATAAATAAATAAATAAAGATGTGAAGGAGTGAAGGAGCACCCTCTGTGGGATGCAGTTGGAAGAGGAAGAAAGTTTTCCTGTTGGGGGTTAACATCACTTACGTGACACCTGCCCCCAAAACTAATCCTATTGATGAAGGATCTTCTGAGTAGTAAGCCTGTGCTTAATTAACCTTACACAAATGAGCTTAATTGCTTCCCAGCAGCTGTTGTCCAGAAGCACCTGGGGATTCCTTCCCTCAGACATTTCCAGCACCTAGGGGAACCACAAAGTTGGAACCCATTCGCCGAGACATCCCTGAGCACCTGTGATGCACTGGGCCGTGTGCTGGAGGCCACAAGGAAGAGCAAGATACGCCCCTGCAGCCAAGGTACTTAAAGTCCTGTGGGAAACAGAAACACACACCCAAGGATGACTCGGGAAGGTGAGCACCTTTAGCCTCAAGAACCAAGTGCCACAGGAACGCAGAAGTTAGTCCCAGGAATCCAAAGAGCCTTCCGGGTGTCTTTTGCCCACAGGTTACCCCAATTTGCAGAAGAAATGGAGGTGAGGATCGCCCTTCTGGTTTCTCCCAGGGGAGTGAAAAATCAAGCAGTCTCCAGCTTCGCTCAGTTTCTCACTCTGGATTTGCCGGGACAGGTGAAGGTAAAGACCGCCTCTCCCACCAGGCCTCCCTATGTAGAATCCGGAGTTCTGCTGGAGCAGGAGTGGGAGTTCAAAGAGTTCTTTACTTCCAGACCTCGGACTCCAGAGTCCGCCCTCCTGTGGGCACCGCCGGGGGCCGAGGAGAGGAGCCAAACGCGGCGAAAGAACAGCTGAGAGGACATTCTGTGTCCCGCGACCCGTTCCCAATTCCCCAAGCCCCACTTTTTCTCCCGAAGACAAAGCGCCCTGGTCTGGGGCCTTCGGCCGTCGACTGTAATGCCTACAATGTGTCGCAAGGTGGCAACGTTGTGGCGAGAAATAGACTAAAAAATCCTGGGTTCTTTTTCTTTTCAAAGCATATTTCCCCTATTAATGTTTCATTTAACTTAATTAGAATCTGGTAAACTAATTAAAGTAGCTACGAGCCCCGCAATCAGCAATAATTCGTATAATTATTGATAATTACATCCATACAAATCGTTTGGTTATTAACATTTGTGGGGGAACAAACCACTTCTGGAGGGACGCGGAGCCCAGGAGGGTTTTTTGCGACAGAGTTTTCTGGGTCGGATCCGCCTACACTCCAATCCTCAGCGATGCCGGCCCAGTTGGGGCGCCCTTTCGGGAAGGGCCCATCTGCCTATGGCGCTTTTCTCCACTTTCGCGAATTCGAAAAGGAAAGGTGAAAAGGACTGATTTGCTAGGTTCCTCTGTGCAGCCGCAGACACGGAACTTCCTGCCGGGGCAGTAACTGTTACTCCCATTTTACAGAGAAGGAAAGTGCGGTGACGTCCGGGGGGAACCGCGCGCGCTCTCCAGCGCCCGCGCCGCCCCGCCCCGTCCCAGCTCCGCTCGCCCCTGGCACGCCCTGGGGACGGAAGTCACTTCGTCTCTGCACTACAGTTTCACTGCTGGTGAACAGTGGAGAACTGATCTGGTTGGTTCCACCCATAGGAAACGTTCCCGCTCCCTGGAGGGTCCCTACTGGGAGATCGCACGTCTCGAGGCGACTTCATCCCTCGGGGACGCCTCGGTTTGCCCGGCGCCCTCACAGTCATTATCTTGCTGGTGTCCTTCCTCTCTGTGTCTAGCCCTCGGAGTACCCCGGGACCTGAGGGCTCGCAGACCCAGCGCAGGGTGCTCTGCGGCCTGGCTTCGTGCCACGACCGCGCCGGGGGGCTCCCGGCCGGCGCCCCTGCTGGTCGGCTCAGCCCCGGGCTCTCTAGACGACCCGCCACGAAACTTCCTGGCCTGAGCTGCTGGCTCGGAGGCGCGGCCCGCACGCCTTCCTCCAGGGTCCCCCCCGGGGCGCCTCGCGCCCCCCGGAGCAGCGCAGTGAGAGCCCAGGGGTCGGGAGGGCGGGGTTGTCCGGGCGCTGGCCCGGCCGCCGACGGCTGCCCTGCGCTCCGCTTCCTTCCCAGAGCGCTTCCACGCGCCGCCGGGGACAGAGGCCTGAATGTTATTTTACAGAAGCCAAACCGGTGGCCTAGGAAGCATAAAGGACGCGACGCAGCACCCTGCTAGGCAGCCGAGGAGGCGAAACTGGAAGCCGGGGCTGAATGACGCCCAACACTGTGCCCTTTCCCACTCCACCCGCACTTTCCTCCCCCTCGCCCCACGTTCCCTCCCTTATCTGTAGCCGAACCAGCAAGTGATCTGTGGAAACTGAGGCCTACCGGAGGACAGCGGCAAGATGAGGCCTCAGCATCCGCAGCCCGGGCATTCCCCCCATTCCCTCCCACGGGGGCCCTGGCGAGCCCGGCGACCCGGACACCTGCAGCCGGCGGGCCTCGCCTTGCTCCTCGGGCTCCTGTCCGCAAACTCGCTGGGACTAAAATGGACGGAAGGTTAGAATCCGTCAGGGCTCGCTCCGTTCCGGCGGCGGCAGGGCAGCTGCGCCCGAGCGTCGAGTCTCGCCCTTCGTTTCCAGGCCTGCCCGGGAAAGAATCGCCCACCCTGCGAACCTCGCCCCCCCGTTCCAGCGCTCCAGAGCCAGGCCGGCGGTGCCCGCTCCTTCTGGCGATTCCGGGTGAACCTGGGCGTGGGGGCAGGGCGCCGTGCAAACTACCAGGAAACAGCGTCCGGTCTCTGAGCGCCCCGGAGGTGACTTCCCGGTGGGGCAGGCGTGGAAATGGGCACGAATAAACTCTCGGCCCCTGAGAGCGCTCGAGAACCAAAGACCTCGGCACCAGGAACCAGGCGGTCGTCGCGCCAAAGCCCAAGGAAGGGTCTTAAACGCAGGGACGGGGTGGCCTGGGGGGCACGCTGGGTGTGTCTGAAGGATTGGTGGAGATGTCTGGCGCTCCCTGCTGCCCACCTGAGGGGACGCGATTCTCAGCCAGGGCACCCCAGAACCGGAGCTGCGGCCCCCACGCTCCACCTGTTGCGCAGCCCTCAGCCAGCCTCTGCCCCACTTCCGGCCCCCCCAACTCCCATCTCCACAGCCCCAGGAAGTGACAGATTGGTTTTTTTTTTATTAAAAACAAAACAAAAGTCACGGATACAGGGGTGGTCTCTCCAAACAGGCTCAAGGTGGTCTCTATTTCGTGAGTCAGTTGTCGCCCTTTTTAAAGTGCTGTTACAACAAGAGGTTACAACAAAAAATAGACAAAGCAAAACCCAAAGGGGAATGTCAAACGGGACTGGAAGTACGTCCAGGAGAAGGAAGCAAAATAACTTAAAGCATGAATAAATTAAAGTGAACCCGATACTGAACCAAGAGACTCACAGTACATTTATATCCATTGCACATAGCCACTTTGTCATCAGGAACAAGTTTCAGAAGTGGACGGGACGGGGGAGCGCAGGACCAGCGCCGGAGAAGTTGCTACATTGTAATCACAATTGGGGGTCCGAGGCTGTACAGGTGTGGGGAGGGGCCCCCCTCCCCTTTCTTACCCCCTTCGGTCCAGTTAACCCCATGAGGTCCGATGCCCTGGAGTTCAACCGTGGGGCGAGGTGATATTTACACTTGGAAACAGAGACGGGCCCCTGGACCGGGTGCCCGGGCGGGGGCGGGCGAGGCCGAGGCGCCCCGGAGGAGGGCAGGCGGGCGGGAGGCTGTATTTACATCGGTCCGGTCTGAATGGCTTGTTCCTCGCTCTCGGCCGCCGCGGCCGCGGGTATTTACAAGAAGAGAGCAGCATGGCTTGAGGGCGCGTGGGGCGGCCCGGGCCGGCCCTAGGGCAATAGCGGGGGCTTGAAGGAGCAGTTGCCAGTGCAGTGGCGGGGCGTCAGCATCTTGCAGGAGAAGTGGTGCAGGGCGTCGTGGGCTTCTGGAGAGACAGTCGAGTGGGCCATGTTGGGTGCCTCCTCTGCCTCGCCTGACCCAGGCGACCCACCCGCCCCCCTCCCCTGCCTGCGAGGGTCTCACCCACCCGCTTCCGGCTCAGGGAGCGGATCAGAAGGTAGGAAGGTAGGAGAGAGATCCTGGCGATTCAGAACCACTGCTCTGGTTCAATAGCCCCATTTTACAGAAGAGGAAAGTGAAGCACGGTGAGAGGGAGGTCGATCTGCCCAAGGCCAGATTTGGACCCGACGGCAGATTTCCCAACGCCCAGAGTCAGAAGGGCTCTTTCTTCCTATCCCTAGAACAGTGGTTCTAGAATCATTTCCCCACTAACACCAATTTCCACTTCCCTCTGCTCAGCGTCTGACCGGGGTAGACCCGGCCTTCCCCTCTCACTAGCCCCGTTATTCGTTCATTCATTGGATCCATCATTCATTCGACAGCACCACTGCCTGGCACCCCTCCTATCTTTGTTCCCGGGCTTCCGAACCTTTTAATTTCTGCTGGATGGCGTAGCGCGCCTTCCGCTCCTGGTCGAGTTCGTTACACAGAGTGTCTGGAAGACATGGGGAGGGGCCGGGGAGGAAATGAGACCACCCTCGGGCCAGCGGAGGTCACCGCCAGGGCCTCACCCTCTCCCCAGCGCTCCGCCCCTCGTAGAAACCAGTCGGGGGACCGAGGGAGGGGGCATCAACGCTCCAAACTGCAGCCTGGCGAGGGAGGAAATGGCCTGGGATGGCGCTTAAAGGCAGACGGATCTAACCAAAATTAAAGCAAACTTAGGCATTACTTCCCAGGTAATTTTACGCCTCGATTTTTAATTTAGAAACCATGGAAATTGCCGCGATAAGAAGTTCAATCACTCCACGTAATGATGCCTGCAAGCCGTTTGCTGGGCTCGCTTGCCATTCTGAGGCTAATCAGAGTATACAAAGGATATTAAATAAAAAAAATAATTGTTAAATTACCTTCAATTTAAATCCAAACGACTGAGCCAACATTGCGGCTCCTGCCAGACGAGAGGCAGTTACGCCCGTGCGCGCGCTCACCTGACTCCCGTCTTACCTCTGACAATTTGCAGCTGTTGCACCATTTCTTCTCGATAAGCCAATTCCCTCTTCATTTGATCCTGAAAATTATCTGTGCAAATTGATTAAGTGAGAGCTGTTATGCACAGCTCCCTCCCTCAGCCCCATTTCCCCACTCCCCACCCCCACCCCCGGCCCCACCCCCTCAGTCTTTGGCCTGGCTGGATACCCTGGAAAAGGAGGGGTCGGGTCTTGCAGGGCCTGCGGCAGCAGCTGCCTGCACTGGGGGCCCGGAGTGGGAGCAAGGCTCTGGCGATGGGGTGGGGTGGGTCGGGATAGGGGTACCTTTGAGACTCTGAAATTCTCGCTCCAGCTTCTTGCGGAGTTCCATTTGCTCCAGGAGCAGTTTTTGCAATTCGTCTGTAAAGGTGGGAGAGTCAGAAGTAAGGGGGAGGGACGGGCAGGATTCAGGGGGCCCAGAAAGCAGGCAGGTCCTGCCCTGGCCCATAGCCCTGAGATGGGACCTGGGGAGGGTGGGGCTGGTAGGTAAAGGTCCTCAGCACTGTTTTCCCATTTGCTTTCGAAGCATTTGGGCCACGAAAAAGCTAGGAGATACACTGCCCAGGAGAATCAATTCAAGATGGTAGAATGCACTGGACTTCTAGACCCTGCCTCCAGGCCTACCGGCCTGGTATCAAGTTTAAGTTGTTCCTAACTCCCTAACCTTAGAGACTGGTCCAGGAGGACTCATTTACCCCTTCAAATGGCAGACCTAATCCCATCCCTCCCTTCAATAATACAGAGCCGGGAGAATCTGGGCAAAGCCTTGGAACATGCCCCACCCCCGGAAAACAACACATTCACAACAGTCTGTTTTCAATTTCAGGAGGTCCTCAGAACCCAAATCCATGCTAAGAACCCTCACATAAAGCACCAGTGATTTTGGAGGTAACTGCATACTCTGTAAATCTGTGACTAGGAAGAGTGGAGGACCACTGATGCTTCTCTCCCTCCCCTACACCAATTTCCAAGCCCATCCCTGGGCTGGTTTGGGGGAGGGGGGCAGGTGAGTGTGGAAAGCCCCTTTAGTGCCCTCAGAAACCAGCTCCAGAGGGGTGCCAGGGGGCTGCCCTGACCATGGGTCCTTCCCCTGGGAAGGCTTTCTGAGAAATCCCCCCAACCCCCCAGCAGGTGCTGAGAAAACACGAACATGGGAGATAGAGGAGCGAAGTGGCCTCAGAGGCTCCTTCCTCCGTGCCTCAGGCCAGGCTCCCCCTTGCAGGCTGAGCAGCAGCCCCAGGATCCCATTCGAGAACAAGCTCCATCTTTGCCCCATTTAGGGTGGGGTGGTTATGCGTTAATTACAGGAAAAAACTAATCTCTCAGACATTCCTAAAGTGAATGCCTCCCTGCAATCTTCCTGTTCAAAAAAAGTCCTGTTCTTCAGGGAGGCTGGGAGACCTAGATTTGTCCTTTCTGATTGTGCATCAAGTTCTGAGCATTATTACTCATTTCTCTTTCTCCCTGGGCTATTCAGACAGGCCTGGCCTCGGGAACCCAAACTTCCAATGAACCTCTGGGGATTTGGTTCACTCTCCCTACCCCCCTACATGCATGTGCCCCTCTGTGCCAGGATAACGTGTCCAGGGGACTATCCTTCCACTCAATGGAAACTGAGTCCCCAGAGCCCTATCTTCTCAGACTTACTCCTACAGGAATAACACCCTCTACGAGAAGGGACCATCTCCCTCAAGCACAGTGCACAGATTTAACCTCACCTCTGGCCAGGTTCTCGATGTCTTTCTCCACTAGCTGAGTTCCCGTGACATCCAGCGTGAGCCCATCTTCGCCTGGGATACAAGGGCAGGTAAGAGGGATTCTGTCCTGGGAGAGGCCTTGGGAGGGGAGGGGAGAGCTTCCCAGGAAATATGCTAAGTCAGGGACCTACTCCAGCCCCTCTGCCTTCAGGGGAGACAGTTACAGTATCCAGCACTAGCCACCTTCCAAGCCATCATTTTAGGAGTGTAGTCATCATTCTAGAGAGTGACCCACTGTAGGAGAGTGGCCCCAGGGAAGACAGGCCCTTCGGGCAGAAAGTGCCCTATGACCTGTTTTATGTGGGTGATGGTGTCTCTCATTTCCTTTTAGTACACCCCTTCCCTTACCCAGAAGACTCCCAAACTCAAGAAACCTGGCTTGCACCTCGCCAGCTGTTTAAATATTTATCTGCCAGCCACGAGAGGGGACCGGCAGCCGCTTACGGTTGATGGAAAGCCTTCCTCGCAGGCTGCAGCCGGTGGGAACCTGGGCGACCTCGGCCCCGGCTCCCGGGCGGGGGTGCTGCTCGAGAGTCCTAAGGCTCACCTCGGTCTGTGGTTGCGGGACTTGGCTGGGAGATGCTCCTTTGGTCTGGATAGGATTTCCTCGTTTCCAAATCGTCGGCGGTCGAGTGATTGTCTTCCTTATCTGGCTCTTAATGGCAATAAACCGAGTTTCAAGGAGAGGCAAAGAAACTGTGACCCCGATACGGCCAGAGCTGCCGCGGTCGGGGCGCCCCAGCCCTAATTAAAAGCGTCCTGGCCGCCGCTGGTTCCCGGCTGTGCGCCTGGGCTCGCACCCTCAGGCTTCGGGCCCCTCCCCCGCGCGCGGTCTGCTCTTCTTGGGCTCCACGCCCCCTCCCCAGCCCCTCCGAAAAGAACAAGACCAGCAGCCGAGCCCACCAGGGACTAGCGACCTACATCGCGCGCAGATACTGGGGCACCGCGAGCGCGCGTGGCCGCCGGGTCTGCCTGCGCCGTTCCCGCCGAGAACGTGGCCCAGGCGGCGACCCGTGGGGTGGTGGCGGCGGGGGAGCCATCCTCCCGGACTCTGCCTGCCCGGATTTCCGAGGCCCGAGGCCTCTCTTCTTCGAGCTGCAGGCTCCCGCGCGCACGTGCACGGCTCCCGGTCGCGTTGGGCCGCGGCCACCGCGGCACCTCCAGGGTACCCCAAGCGCGCGGCCAAGCGCCCCCACCCTCCGCCCGAACCGGCCTGACCACAGGGGACCTCACAACCCAAAATACTTGCTGAATAAATGAGAGGACTCGAACGGGGTGCCAGGGGTGATTGTAAAAAGGTTTTAAGCCAGTGTCGGAGGTGTAGGGGAGCGCGCGTGCGCGCGTGTGTGGGTGTGGGTGTGGGTGTGGGGAGAGCAGCCTGTTGTTTTAGGTAACCAACGATGGAAGTTGTTGGGAGTTCTCGCTTAGCTTCCTTTTTCTTCCATTATTTTTCTTCCTCTCTCCCTCTTTCTCTCGCTTTCTCTGCGTCCCTCTTTCTCCCCTCGTCTTCCCTCCCAGGCCTCCCCTTGGCCCCGGCCCCCTGCCTGCGGTTCCCCCATCACAGTGGTCAGCGACCTCGGCAGGGGGGCTGGGGGCGTTACCGTGGGCCTCCGGGGTGCAGAGGTACGAGGCTGCGGGCGCCAGCGCCGCCGCCGCGCTCTTCACGTGCTCGTCCCGCTCGGGCGCGTACACCTGCCGCGGCCGAGAAATGACAGGCGGTTAGGGGGGCGCTTGGCGGCGGCTCCGAGCTCCCCAGCCCTGCGCCGCGGCCCGGCCGGGAGGGAAAGCTGAGCGGGTAGCAGAGGTCGGCTCGCCCGCGGGACCGGAACGCCCTCGGAGGCTGCATCGCTATTGTAGATTCGGGGTAATTATTAACGCCCTCGAGAAAATTGTCCGAAACACAAAGCGGCTCCCAAGCCAAGGGGCGTTCAAAGTCTCCCCCACCCTCTTCGCCTGCCTCCTTTTAGGCATCTTCTCTCCCGCTCGCACCCGGTGCCCGGCATAAATGACGCCTTTCGCATCCGGCTAATGGTTCGTGTTTTCATGAACCGAGTGGAAATGTACAGGTGTGCGCACCCACTTTCAAATGGCCGACGATTCGGGCTTAGCGGCCCACCCCGTACCCGAACCCGCGGCCGTGCCAACCTGAGAGGCCCTCTCCCGCCCCGCACACGGTCTCGACAGCTTCCTATCAACGACCCCCATGGTTCTCAAGGCGGGAGTTCGAAGAGACTCGGAAAAGTACAGTTGGGGTGGAGGAAGATTCCGGGGACCCCCATCCTGCTGGGTCCCGGTTTGGGGGAGAGGCCGCCCTCTCCTCCCCTTACCCGCTCATCTTCCCCAGGGCTCTGATCCGCATCCGGGCGGGCACGCTGCAGGCCCGGCCTCCAGAGCTCTTTTCTCTGGCTTTGGGTGCCTTTCTTTGCTTCGCATTCTCTCTCCAGACCCCTTTTACTTCTCCCTTTCTGTCTCTGTGTGACTGACGGTCTCTGCCTGTCTCTTCCCCACTCCCATTCACAAAAACCCAGCACACGCGTCTCTCAGGCCTGCTCCCCCAGATCTTCCAAAACCCTCAGTCAGGGGTTCCAGCGAGGCCAGCTGCACAGCGCTCCGGAAGCTGGGCCTACCCAGAGCAGCCGGGGCTTGCTGCTCGAATGCCCTCTCAGAACAAAATTCCCATCCCCCACCGGGCCGGGGCCCGCCCCACATCCTCGCGGTGCCCAGGGGTAAGCGGGGAGGCGCCCCAGCGGGGCGGGCGCGGGGCTCACCTTGGCCGGCGCGGGGCCCCCCAGCGGCCCGCAAGGCTCTCGCAGCTCATAGCCACTGCTGGGCGGGCTCCTCTCAGGTCTCCGCACCACGTCGTCGGCCGCCAGGTCCCCAAATACGGACCGGCTGGCTGCGGGTATCCCCGGACGGCGCCGGGGCCGAGGGCTACCGCAGTCGGGAGAGTCTGTGGGACCGTCTGCACCCGAGGAGGTGCTAGACTGGGGCCCTGCGGGCTGGTCGCCATCCGGGCCGCCTCCCGTGCTGGGCGCGCGGGGAACACTGGGCTCGGTCTCGTCCGGGGCGCCCTCGTCGTCGGGGAAGCGGTTGGACTCCACGTCCACCTCCGGCTCGTCGGCAGTGTCCACGTCGGGCGAGGCGGAGTGGTAACTGGAGCTGCCCTCGCTCAGAAAGTCCGGGCTTACGTAGCCGCCGCCGGACCCCGCGCCGGGCCCCGGCCCACGAGCCGGCCCCGCGCCGTAGGCGTCGCGTGCGCTACCGTAGAGCTTGGCAATGCTCTCAGCGTCCTTGACCACGGGCCGGAAGGCCGACACGTAGGAGCCTTTGCGCGCGGGCGGCGGCGGCGGCGGAGGCGGGGGCAGTGGGGCCAGCGGCGGCGGCAGCGCCTCGTCCGCGCCGTCCTCGTCCAGCGGCCCGCGGGACAGGGCGCTCGGGCAGCGCTCCTCTGCGCCCAGGCCGCCCTCCTTGGTCGGCTCGGCACCGTCCAGGGGTTCGGGGCCGCCGCCACCTGCAGCTGCCGCCGCCGCCGCCGCTGCAGCCGCTACAGCGGCCGCCACGGCCTTGGCTTGGCTCTGCGCAGCTGGATAGGGCGGCACCGGGAGGCTGCCTGCCGCCGGCCAGAACATGGGAAACGTCGGGTACACGGTGGCTGCGGCGGCCGCTGCAGCCACGGCCGCTGCGTCCTTGGCTGCCCCGGAGGGCTGGTGACCCCAGAACATGGCGCCGCCGCCTGGGCCAGCCCCGGCCCCCGGGGGCAAGTGGCCGGCTCCTGGGCCGCCCGCGCCTCCGCCAGTGCCCGCGCCCCCGCCGGTCCCGGTGCCTGGGCCGCCCTTGGGTTCGCCCGCACCTAGTACGGGGTCGTCCTTTTTGGGGCAGAGGCCGAAGGCCGTGGGGAAGCCGTAGGGATGAGGGAAAAGCGGCGGGGGCAGCTTCTGCAGAAGGCCAAAGCCCTTGCTGGGTACTGGAATCACCGGGTAGCTGCGAACGCCGGCGCCGCCACCAGGCCCTCCAGGGCCCGCGGGGCCACCGGCTCCCGCTGCCAGACCAAGTCCCCGCTGCGGGTGGGGAGGAGGCGGCCCAGGAGGCCCGGTGGCCTCATCTTCGCCACAGCGCAGGCTTTTGTGGGGCGGTGGGCCTGGAGCCATCTCCGCGCTGCAACCCGGGCCGCCCCCGCCCCCGCCGCCAGCACCACCTTTCCCCTGCCCACCCGACCCGCCATTAGCGCCGCCGCCGCCTCCTCCTTGCAGCGAGAAGGTCCGTTTGCGTGTGCCACCATTGAACATGGCCTTGACGTCCTCCCAAGCGTGGCTCAGTTCGTCCGTGGCCGACTTGTCACTGAGTTTGAGGTGACGGCGCCACGAGTTGAAGTTGGCGGCGTCAGGCTGCGTATACTTGGCGTCGGGTGTGCGGTGCGAGTGGAAGATGAACTTGTTAGGCGAGAAGTACATGCTGCAGTACCCGCACTTGATGCACTTGGCACGCGAGCTGTTGTAACGCGCAGGGATGAAGCTGCCACGCGAGCCCCACGCGCACTCGTGCACCACATCGAAGGCGAAGTTCTCAGGCAGCTTGGGTGGCTTGTGCTCGCCCAGGAACGACTTGCACAGGCGTTCAGCCTCGCGCTTCGTGATCATGCCGCAGCGGCGCGATGAGATGGGCATGGCCCCGGCCCGACGCAGAATCTCCAGCTGCACCGGCGTGCACTGCACGCACGTGATGCCGAGGGCCACGCGGCGGTTGTGGATCTCGTTGTAGCTGTAGTTCTTAAGGAGGGTGTTGGAGATCTGAGCCAGGCACAGGCGCTCCTGGCCGTCGATGACCAGAGACACGATAGGCACCCCATACAGCGACGTCTCGCCCACCTGGTTGGGTTTGAGAGCGCTGGAGCCCGAGTAGGGCTGCAGCTCCTGCTTCGAGTTGGGCGAGGAGTTGCCCTCGCGCCCCGGCCCCAGCTGAGTGGTGAGAGCCTCCATGCCGCCGCTCCTGCGAAACAGAGAAAGCAGACAGCAGATAAGCCATTTTCAGCTCCGCGGCGGTTCCGGCCCGCCCAGCGGGACGCGCCAGTGGGGCGCGCGGGGAAACTTGGCAATGGGGAGTCCAAGCTCATTCGCCCCCTGGACGGGCGCCTTTTGTTATTCAGATGCCTACTGGCGCCGGAACAAAAGTCCCCGGGGTTTGGGGGAGGAGAAGGGGTAACTGAGACCTCAGGAATGCCCTGGCAGCCAGGAACCCAATCGTGTTTTCGGATTGGGAAGGGAGTGGGGCCCAGAGACGGAGAATGACTTGCCCAAGGCCACACAGCAAAGCCATTGCCGAACCCAGCCTTTCCGGCGCCCAAATCCGTGCGCCTGCGGCCACCCTCGCAGTCTGCCCTACCGGCCCGGGTCCTGAAGCCAGGACTTCGGGGACAGGCTGCCCCTCTGCTCAGTCTCGCTTGCACGCGGGCAGGCGGGGGCAGCGCAGGGAGGGGGGGAAGGGGCGGTCACTGCCAGTCTCCAGACAGCAGGGGGCGGGGGGGGCGGGCAAGGAAAAGGAGGAGGATCTCGAGGCGGGGGTTCGGGGGAGAGGCTGAGGCGGCCGCTGTTCGCGGTGCTGAACTCGACTCTCGCCAAAGCTCGCCTTGCGCGCCCAGCCCCGGGGCAGCCTCCACCGCACCCAGCTCCGCGCTGAGCCGGCTCCTCGGAACAACGGCGCTGGTTTCCGCAAACTCGAGTTTCTCTTCTCACGCCCGGAGCCCCGCGTTCGTTGAGCAGAAAGATTCCGGCTGGAAATATAAGCCATTTTCTTTCCAGCCATCAATGGGACCAGAGTCACACAGTTCCTAACTACATTTTCTGCATTTTTAGCTGCGTTCCAGACCAAAGCTGCTTTCCATCCGGGTCAGTGCCTGGGAGGGAGAGCTTCTCAAGGAAGTTTCTCAGGAGCCACTTCTGCTTCGCTTCTAACTGCCCACTCCCTAAGTTTTCTTCCTTTAGATATTCCTTTCCCGCTCAGGCCAAATGCAGTCTCACCGGGCTCTGGGCTTCCTCTTTTCGGAGTCTCTTCTGAGTATCCTTCATGTCGGGCTGTCCCGGCTCATATGGGCTGAGCAGAATCCTGGCCGGTCTCAGAAGCCACCACAAGCCTCCAGGTCAAAAGTTGCTGCGATCCCGCGCTCTGCTCTCTGGCAAAGGGAGGGAGGCAGGTGCGTCCCCGGACCTCAGCAGCGGGAGGACCCGGGTACTGATGCTTGGGGCCCACTAGGTGGCCCGGCCCAACCACGTGTCCTCAGGTACAGAAGGCTCCTGCTTGGCCCACGGCTGCAGGCGCTCCTGAGGCCCAGGAAGCCCAACCCTGAGGACCCTCCCCTGAACTAGGCAGGAAAGGCAAATCCATTTTCAGAGGCACAGTTCGAGCCGGACAAGGGATCCGAGTTCAAAAGCCTTCAAGGAGGAGGCTGAGATCTCTGTCTGTCTGTCTCTCTCCCTCTTTCTGCTTGTCTAGGTGCCCCTCATCTGTCGATCTTATGTTCCCTGAGCTGTCTGTCTCTCCCAGCTCGCTCCTCTTTCTCCCATTTGTCTTCATTCCTTCTTCAAGTATCAAGCTATTTATCTGTTATCTGTCTGTTTCCTCTTTATCTCTGCGGATCGAATTGAAACAAGTTGACCCTCCTTTAGCGTTGAAGTCTCTTGTAACATTTTAGGAGGCAAAAGCATTGTCCTGACTCCCCGGCTGAGGGGTCAACAAGACCAGCCCCCCCACACCCGCAACGGCTCTCAGGCGGGCTGGGGAGGCGGGCTGGGGAGGTGGCCCGGGCGCCGCGGCTCAGGGAAATGACGATGTCTTCTCAGTCTCCCGAAATCGGCAAGTGTGCCCTGCCCGCATACAGTGAAAGGATCGCCCGAAGCTGAGCGCATCCTCCTCAAGCTGAGGGTCTTGGGTCCCCGCGAGGTTTTCCCAAGTGGGAAGAGGGAGCTCCGGGCTCCGGAGCCAGGAGAACGGGGGCCCTAGGAAAGGAACCGAATTTCGAGGACCAGAGCAGAAAGCCCGGGCAAAAGGCTGTACACAGCGACAAGGAGCAGCGGCCAGGGCGACTCGGGGAGCCCTCGCCGGCTCCTGGGGGCTTGAAGGGTGAGCTTGGAGAGGGCGATGAGGCGGGAGGCGGACAGTGGTGCGAGTGAGGCGATGGAGTCTTTAGGTATAATAACAAAAACAAACAGCCACAAGAACCCAAATCGGAACTAAACGAAAAAAGCTGTACGGGAAGAGCGCGAGGGTGGCGGGCGACCCAACGGGTACTCACCGTGCGGCGGCGGCTGGAGCCGGGCGAGCGGCGAGCGGAGGTGCGCGGCGGGCGGAGCGGCGGGCGGGAGTCCGGGATCCGCCGGGCTCTCCGGGTGACGGCGCGGCCCCTCCCCGCGCGCGCGCACAGCCGCGCTCCCGGGCTCCCCGCGTTCACACCCGAGGCCCCGCCGGCCCCTCCCGCGCGGCGCCCGCTGTCAGCAGGCTCGGGGCGCAAGGACCCCGGGCGCGGAGATGTGAGCCCTGAGCCGCTGTCCCCGAGGCCCCGGAAGGGCCCGGAGCGGAGGCCGAAGCCTGGAGCGCATGGCGCGGCGACGGGCACGGCGCGGTCACAGCCGGAGTGGTGAGGCCGGCGCGGGGCGGGCTAGCCTGACAGCTGCGAGCCGGGGCGCCACACCCACCGCCCGCGCAGTCACTCGCGCCCTCCCGGGGTCCGCTAGCCCGCGGGCCACAGCCGCGCCCGCCGCCTCCCCGGACCCCCAGGCCTGCCTGCCCCAGGTAAGCGGCCGCACACCTGCGCCCTGCCCCCAGCACCTGCGGCCCACGCTCGCCAAAGGGGCCGGGAGAGAGGAAGGGCCGGGGCCGCAAAGTTTGCCCTCAGGAACGAAGTGGGGAGGACCCAGCGCTCCCCGCCAAGGGGCCAGGATCCATCCTGGCCAAGGCCGGCTAATGGGGCTAAGGAAGGCTCCTAGCTAGGAGGAAGGGGCGCGGGGAGGGGTACCGCCTTTTCGGGCCAAGGCGGTGGAGCCGGAGAGTGGTCCTGTGGAGCCAGTAGGCTTACCAGCGGCCTGAGCAGAGACCAGGGTGTGTGTTGGGGAGAGGGAAGGCAAGGGTGGCGGCTGGGAAGGGGCAGAACCCAACTGCCTCCCCCACCACCCCGCACGCTTCTGACTTGCATGGGAGACGTCGGGACAGCTCCAGCCTGAAGAAGGGAGACCTCCCGCCTCCTTCACGCAGTGGACTGGGGAACTGGATTTGAGGCGCCCCCACCCCCAGCCCCGGCCTTGAATGCGTCCCCCCCACCAACACCAACAGGCACAGGGCAGAAGCCAAGTCATCGCTGGGAGATACCTGGGGTCAACCACTGTCTAGTTGACCACTGGACTTCTCTCTAGCTCTCTTGCTAACTCAGTTTCCCGGTGGTGGGAGTTTAGCCCCCTGACGCTGCTGAAGCTCCGTGGCATCTTTTCTCTTCCCAAAGCTCCATTTCTCTCCATCCCTCTCTCCTCTCTCTGTCGGTTTCTGTTTTCACCATTCTTTCCCCCCACTGCCCCACTGAGTCCCGTGTTCTCCCTCTCTCTCAACCTCAGTCTCTAGTTCATTTGAACACCCCTCCCTCTTTTCCGGCATCCGGGCGCCCTCTCGCCTCTCCCCCAACCCGCAGTGGCATTAAGTGTCCTTAATGGACACGTTAATTAAACTGTAATTAATCATACTGTCCGGCCCAAGTTTGAACAATTACCCTAATCAAACAGAAGTTAATAATGGCAGGGATGGCCCGGGGCGCGGCGGGCCGCCCGGGCAGGGGGCGCAGCAGCCACGGCGGCTACCGGCTACCGACGGTGGCAGCAAAGGCGAGCGCAGCCCGTCCTTGGAACCCGGGCGGCGCCATAAATCTTCTGCGGCCAGCGGCGCCGGGTCGCCCTGCCCCGCCCCCTCGTTTTCCTTCTCGCTCCGGGTTACAGGCACTCTCCCCTCCTGCATTCCGGCTCTCGGGGGTTCGTCTCCCCTTCGCCTCCACTTCTCCCCTCTCGCTTTTCTCTTCTCTGCGGGCTTGCAAGGACCCTGGGAATAGCCTGTGGGGGTGCGAACGGATCGCCCTGGCGTAGCCCTCGGAGAGAGGGAGCGGCCAGGCCGGCCTGAGGACTCGCTTGCCACCTCCTTATCCCCTTGGCTAACGTGTTCTCTGAGGCCTCGAAAACTACCCCCAAGTTTGAGGGCTGTGTCTTCTCTGCGGAGTCTCTTCTAGAACGAGTTTCTGCTTGTTCGCTTGCCTCAGTTTCCGTCTTGGATCCCCTGCTTGTCTCTCTTTTCTCACAGAGCCTGCTCAGCCCTTGTCTCTCTCTGCCTCTGGCCCCTCCATTGGCGCGTCGTCCCCGGGCTCTGCCTCTGTCCCGCTCTAACTCTGCCGCTCTCTACCCTCACGCCCACTTCCCTCCGAGGAAAACAAGAACCTATTTTCCATTCCAGTCCGAGAGCCGCCCCCAGCCTCCACATGTTTGTCCCCTCTCCCTCGGCTTGGCCTCCCCCACCCCATAATTACAATCCCGTTCAATAATTATTCTTAGCCTCCTAATGATTTTTTAAAAGGCATCTCAGAATTCAGTGTGGTGGTGACAACAATTGCGGAGCCAGGACGCCCCCGGGGGGGGGGGTGGGAGTGGGAAAAGGATGGGCAGGGTCCCCCTGAGCAGGGCCTGCCTGTCCTGCCTCTATTGTACTGCGAAGGCCCACAGCGCCTCGGGGCCCGCCTCTGGGGCGTTCCCGGCAGCCTGGCCGCGGGGCCCCAGGGACCTTTCAGACAAAAGTTCCCTCCTCGGGTTACCGCACCAGGGCCACGCAGCGTCGCCTCTGCGTCTCCGTTCAGCACCAAGCTGCGGACAGCTCCCGCGCCAGCGTCCGGCTTTGCCGGCCCACCTGGCTCTCGCACCGGGTCTGAGACAGAGACTGAAGGCGCGTGGAGAGAGTCTGGGGAGGCGCCGCCGCTCACTTGAGGGGTAGTGGTCTCCGGGGAGCAGGTCTTGAGGGTCGGGCCTGGACCCTGCTCTGGACCAGCGTCCAATTGGTTAGTATCACCGCGAACCACATTTTATAGTTTGCAGTGCCGGTTCTCACAACGGCCCTGGGAATAGGTAGGGATTATTTATTCCCATTTCATAGGCAGGAAACTGAGGGTCAGGCAGTGCAAGCCAACCCACCCATGTTCCTCGATCAATAAGGGACGGAGGCTGATCTCCCAGCCCCTAAATCTCGTGCCTTGCACGCTGCCGCGACGTCCTCGCTTGGCGAAGGGACGATAGGAGTGCGCAGCGCTGCGCAGCCACGAGGACATTTTATTATCGCCCTCGCCACAATCCGCGTGGAGGAGACAGGCCTAGCAAAGCCAGGTGACCTGCTCCGGTTCAGGCCGCCGCGGCGGGGCGGGGCTAGGACTTGAACTCAGGCTCAGAAGGGGCAGCAGGGGACCCCTCTTCCTCCGAGGGGGCTCTGGGTCCTGCGGCCCTGTCCAGAGCTGGGGAGCCCGCGCAAATCGGTGCCCTTGGCCTTCCTGACCCCCATTAGTGCAGATTCTCTCTTTTATCCGCTGCCAGGTGGCACCAGAGTCTGAGGGCCCGACTCCGGATCGGGGACGCGCCTCACGTGTCCCGCCCCCCCAGCCGGGTCTGTGCTGCCTCTGCGTCCCCGGCGTCGCGTCCACGCGGCCGGGCGGCCCGCGCCCATACAGGCTTCGGCTTGGGCTTGGGCTGGGCGGCCGCGCCTCCTCCGCAAGCACATATCTTTTACCAGTTGAATTAACGGCAGTTTTCGTCAGTTAATTAGGTTTAATTTACATAATTAGTACAGTATAAAGAGGATTGGGGATAATCATGGGGTACGTAGCGCTTACTGTGTAAACACGTATTCTGAATTAAAAATCAGATGTAATTAAGGCGCGCAGGCCCTGTTTAGGCAGGGTTTTAATTGTAATGAATTTCTAATTAACACTCAATGATTGCCAAATGCAAAGGGCTGTAAAATTTTCTTGTAGTTTTGCTAATTTATTGTTTACTTAATATCTGGATATTAATCCGACGGCCAGATAGACTCGAGCCGGCGCCGCGGCCCGGGCCCAGGCGAGAGAAGGTGGCTGGGCGGGGCCTCCAGGGCGCAGCCCCAGAGCCGGAGGCGAGGCCGTGGGGGAAGCGGGAACCCCAGAGGCGGCGCCGAGGTGCTCAGAGCTCCCAGCCCACTTGACTCCGGGTGTGGACGGGAAGTCTGAGGCTCGGGGAGGGCTGGGACTTGCCCGAGGCCGCACACTCCGGGGTCCTGCCGCCCTGAGCCGGCTCTTTGGGATCAGGGGCCAGGCCAGCGCTCCTCCCGGCGGAGGGCTCCCTGCTTCTGGGACAGCAAAAGGAGCGAGACAAGTCGAGGCCCGGATCTGGTTCTTGACCACTTGAGTGACCATGGACCTTGGCCTCAATATGTGCATCTGTAGGACGGACACACGGACCGGCACTTTGCTGGAGTGAAGAATATACGGACCAGGAGGCCCAAGGGAACTACAGATGAACGTGAGAAGAATTCTGGAGCCCTGACGCTGTGGGGGTGGGGCTTCAGGGGCTCTGCTTGGGGGTCGGTCGCTTAAGCTTAGAGGGAGGGGCAGAGCCAGGAGGACCTGGGCATGGTTTGCAGGTCGTGAGGCCAGGCTGTGCCCGTCTTAGGGCTCTCTCTGCACTTGAAGGAGGGACTAAGGAGAGAGCCCATGACCAGACTTCTTTGCCCTGAACCCCATAGAAGTCCCCAAGGCCTGAGCAGAGGTGTTCGGGAAAGAGGGTGGGTGAGGAGCTCAGCTGAGCCCGGCACTCCTCCTCCCCTAAATCTCTAGTTTGGGTTCCCACCCATATCCCAGCAGCCCTGCCCCCATCAAGGATTCCCCTCCTGTCAGCCCCAGCTGCCCCACGGGCCTCTGTCCAAGGTCCTTAGCGCAATGGAGACTCTGCGGGCACTTAGAAATTTCCTACCGACCCAGGGAAACACACCACGAAAATTCACCAGCGCCCAGAGGCTGCCGCCCCACAGAGCCGGCTGCCTTCCTTCCCTCTCCAGTGCCTGCCTTTCCGAAGCCGCAGAGGTCTCTCCTGGACACTACACAGGGCCTTCTCGGAGCCCACCTGGGCCCCTCATCTCTCTCTGGTGCATGCTGTTTTGTTTTCATCATTGGATTGTTTACTAGTTAGTATTTCCTGATTAGTTATTTGTTCGCGGTGTTTTCTGTTTCTCCCACTGGAAAGTTTTGTTTGCTGTTGTATTCCCAGGACCTAGCACTCAGCTGGTGCTCAACATGTTTGTTGAATGAATGAGTGAACAGCATTCGAGCGTACGGGCTG